CTACATGTGGATTTTCTCAGATTTGTTCATTTGTAATGATATCTTTAGTTCTCTAATTTTGGTGAATATTTTTGTCATTTTTGGTAAAAAGTGATATTTTCGACTTCTTGTTGAAAACTGCAAGTCCAATTGCTTTGATATTACATATATAGGTACTACATGTGGACCTCTCTCAAATTTGTTCATTTTGTAATGATATTTTCGGTTCTTTAATTGCCATGTGTATTGCTAACAGCGGAGCTATCTCAGCCGACAGGCTGCTTGTTTACATTTTTGAAAACATTTTCAGGCAAAAAAAAGCTTTCATACCTTTGATAGCAGAAAATAAACAACACATTTAAAACAACATCATCCTGAAAATAATTCCATATCAAACTAAGTGAAGTAAAAACAAATCGATATAGAGATACAATTTATTGTTTGTCTAAATATAACTTAATTGACTGGTGGCTATTCTTTGATTGTTTGTCTAAATATAACTTAATTGACTGGTGGCTATTCTTTGATTGTTTGTGACCATTGCCGTGGTAGGTTGTAATTTGGTACATATTATATAACCTTTAATTATGGTAATCATCTTGGTTACTTTGTAGTCTTATTACAGTCACTTTCAGTGACAATGCCATTTATAGTAACATGTTTGTTATGAATTTAGCCTCTTCCTGCGGACTCGTACACCAAGCTTGAGTTTGAAGATTTAACCGTAGGTACAAACGTACCTAAGCAGTATGTTGCATCAGTGGAGAAAGGTTTTCGTGAAGCGTGTGAGAAAGGTCATCTCATTGGACAACAGATAACAGGTGTACGAATGAAACTCGTAGACGGTGCACATCATGCAGTGGACTCAAGTGATTTGGCATTTCAGTTGGCTGGGAAATATGCTGTCCAACAAAGTAAGTTATTCTTGAACTATTATATTGGGCCTGCCATGGCGAATGTTAATTTACATATTTGTTTTTAGAACACTTTCTTATAAATCATCATTGAGTAAATTTGTTCATAAAATAACGACAATGTTCCTTCAACTCATCATTTCAAACATGGCACAATGTTCATTTTTAATTTGATCCAATTTTTAATCCAGTAGAGGAGATATTTTGCTTTTCTGATTTCAATCCTGCATGTAATTATTTTAATTACAGCTTTCATGCATGCTCCATGTCAAATATTGGAGCCGATAATGACGATTGAAATCAATGCACCAGAAGAATTCCAAGGATCCGTTTTAGCAGGTGTGAATCGAAGACACGCTGTGATCATCGGTACTGATGCCAGTGAGGGTTACTTCACATTGTATTGTGAGGTGAGTTGACAATGTATGAAATAAACAAATTTTAAAGTTGTTAAAACCGTGTCTCCATTGTTTGATTTGTATTGCTTTGGAAAAATAATAATTTGGAATAAATAAAAAATTTCTTCCAACTGACTAATGAGGGCGCTGTCTTAAATGATGTTTTCTTCAGTGAACAAAGTTGAAGCATAATTCTATGACAATGTAGCCACTCATGGCATAATTTGCCCTTGCAGTGTTTCATAATGTAGCCAATGGTCTTCACTTATGACATTATTTGAAACAG